GTATACATTGGTCTAATCCATTGTTTTTTCATTTTGGTATATTGGCATATAATTATGGAAGTAAAATTTTTTTAACTGTATTCCAAGTAAGAAATTAGTATCTATCTACATGTAAGTGTATTTACATTATGTTTCTCGAGTAATTGCAATTTGTACATGTATACAGTATGGTACAGTTGTAAATTGTATCTTTAACATATTATTACTTTCTGAATATCTGAATCAATCAATCAACCAATCTACCAATCAACCAACCAAACAACCAACCAATCAATTAAGTTTAACTTTTGAACAAGTCGTTATACTAAAATGTAGTCTTCTGAACACAGCTGGGATGGAAAAAGCGATTTTTTGTACCGAATTGTTCACTTCGATGTTAATGTTTCGTTTAAATTTAGGCGTATTTTGGAGCGGAGCATGCGCATAACATTTTTGTAGACTGGATCTAATGATTTAAGGCTTAAAATGCGATGCATTAGCTTCACTTTGATACGCAAAAATGTATGCGGCCAGCAATCATTCTCAACAATGTGGAGTGGTCTGATGCAAAGCAGAAAGTAATAGATTTATTGTAAAGTACATGTAAATCATTTAAGTACATGCTCACATTCCTGCGTTCCGTATAAACAAGGTGTTATAGCAATTCTTTCAAACAGAGCGCCAACAGTGAATGGCAAAACATAAATAAGGTTGTACTATATGGCGAAAAGGATTCGCATTGTCGAATCGAGCTCCGTGGTAAAAATGATAATAAAATAACAATGAAATCTGAACCTGATGATAGAAAATTCCTCGTGTGCTGTTTTCTCCATAGTCAGGTTTTCACTTTTGGCTTATTGAACAAAGCACCTTAAGTTTTCTTCAGAAATTGATTTTAATGCTTATTATTTGCCTCATTCATCCCCAAATCAGAAGGAGTTTAAATTTCAAAGAATTTACATCATATTTTGTATAGGATTAATTCAGAACGGACAACGGACGATCAGACAAAATCAACAAATACGAATTCTCACAAAGCTAAAAATATCTCATTTGTTTGCAAAGACAAATATTGATACGGGCACAAGAAGACAACAACAAAAAGTTGAACAAGAACAAGGTTAGGACAATCACGGAAAGAATACTACACAACACAAAAACTTTTGAAAAGATAACGTACTGAAATTTTTCTTCTCTTCATGTAAATTCCAATCCGAAAAACACCCCACGTCACTTTTAGAGAAAATCTTTTTAAAGGTCAAATAATTTTCCCTTTTGGGGTCTATTGCAAAGAAACAATTTAGTCTATTCAAAGGGGCCCTTTTGGGATATGTCAGGGGCGCTGTAACTTTCACCCCCACTTGAAAACGGTGGGAATTTGGTTACCTAAAAACCCTTTTTACGAACAAAAATCAAAATTTTACTTTGACGTTGTTTTTGGGGCAAAAGCAATGTATTTAAACTTTGTTTAATAGAAAAATTCCAAAGCATTTTCTCTTCTTCTTGTTTTTAATTCAGCCGTAACGAGCAATTATTCGTGGATATTGAAAAAAATGTTTTGATCAGCCAGAAGACACTTACATGGATATACTGGTAAACTTTTCCTATTAAAATGCCAGCGCGATCCAAAGTGTGAATGTTTTTGTCTGCCGGGCAGCAATATCAAAAATGTACAAGGGTTAAAGCCGCCCAGGGAGTTGTATTCGGCGAAACAGAGTTTGCGATCCTTTTATCTCTCAAACATTATTACATAATCACATCGTAACTTCCTTAACTAATACTAAAACAGGACACATGTACCCCCTCATCTTTCAGCTTGATGAAATTAAACGTAATTGTTTAAAAAAAGATACTTGGGCTATTTAATACTTGTACTTGTATGTAGGTTCTTAGTTTTCCATGCCAAGTCATATAGAAATGTTAGCATAGCTTGCATAAAAATGACACAATAATTCCTTGTAGGGTTATTAATCTTGAAACATGGAACATTTTAAGATGTATGTGTTTCTGTACGAGCCTGTCATGATTCGGTAAGTGAACTGAACTTACAACACAAACTTCTGCGCAGTCGGTTGGCAATTATCTTTATAAAAAATGGCAAGAACTATCCTTTACATTAATTTTTACATTAGAATGATCAATGTGATTCTCAGATTCCATCTTGTAATTTTAAAATAACCAATGAAAAAAACTCTTTATATTCAGTTCTTCACTGTAAATTATTTTACACGAAGTCAAACTGATACGCCGGAAAAACGACCACCTGGCTAAACTTTAAGTAAGAAAGACTTTCAAGTTATCACACTTTTTTTTTTTGAAGATAAAAAACGTTCATTAAACACGTTTTTTTTTTTAGAAATTCTATTACCACGTTATTTTTAAAATGCAAATTTTATTTTCCTGAGGTTTTTTAGATTTTTTTAAACCTTGAAACATTGCTTTTAATTTAATTTTTTAAAAAAAACTTTTCCCACTTCCACCTTATACTTAAAATGGAATACAAAATATTTTAATGCCTATTCTTTTCAACCAGATTATCACTGAAGTATTTTAAATTAAAAAAAACTAAGACAAAGTACCCTTTTGCCACAAATTAAACAAAACCACTAATAATATCGAGAAACCGAGGGAAAAAAAGTATTTTTTTGTTAAAAAATTGTGAAAAAAACATTTTTAAAGGGGGAAGGGTTATGAATAATTTTGTAGATATTTTTGCATAGTCAAAAAAAAAAAGTATTTTTTATAGTCAATTAAAAAGATTTTTATTGTATTTTAAGTATTAATTCAAATCAGTCTGGTATACCTTGATGTTCCATCAGTTCCAAAATAAATGAAATCTCTAAAGCGTGGTTTTCTTTTTTTACTTTGAATTGATTACAATTTTGCGATGAATGAGTGGTCAGCAGCCAAATTTCAAATGGATCTTTTCATTCAAGAGAAAAGGTATGGTAACAAAGTAAACATAGTGGTCTTAAGTCAATTTTGAATCATTTTATTGTTTCGTTTATCCGGAAATCATGAAACGGGTTGACCTACCGACATACTGACAGGCTCAACCCTATATACCCCGATTACCTTTGTGGGGTATAATTACAAACAATACAGTTTTTGCGAGAATTGGTCTTGAGACAAAAAACAATAAAAAAACAAAAACAAAAAAAACAATGAAAGTCTGATAAATATTTGTCTTCCTCCACCTGTAAAGCTCGAACGTCGTCGGCGCCGTATGATCATTATAATGTCGGCGTGACTCAAAATCCAACAATACAAAAAACAAACGTGAGAACACGTTGGCATTACCATGTCCTGTTCGTGTTTCTTCCGGCTGAATGTTTCAACCCTACATTCACAAAGTTCTTATCATGTGACGCTACATATTCATGAATGAGGGTCCGCGTGTGACAAACCGTTTGAACATACACAAATGTATATGTATTGACAATAGCAATTTTGGGAGGTGTCAATGAGGGTCCAGATATAATTGATAGCAGCTAGATAATATCAAATTTGAATTGTTTAAAAACTATAACTATATACATGCAAAAAGATAATATTTTCAAATATACGACAAGTTCATCCCTATATAGGCCGATAACCTTTGTAACAATGTGTCCAGATATCATTGATAGCAGCTTGATAACGTAAATTTTGTAACTATATACATGCAAAAAGACTATTGCTTTTAAATATATACTAGTAGATATATAATATAACAAGAGCCACCAACGGGCTGGGACAACGCTCGATTTTTTTTTACTTTTTCTAAAGCAAGCACAAATAAACAATTTTTAAAAAGGTATGTCTAGTTACACTTCTTGTTTTGTCTATATGAATCATTCCCATTAATAAACAAAGTTAAGAAAATATCAGCAGAGTTCAATCATTGGACAATCAAGATTATGTTGAGGTTAATGTCATAACTAGATTATTCACAATTTTTTTTGGGTCAAAAGTGTTGTTTTGCCCACAAATAAATCAAATCAAAACATATAGAACAATAATAATAACAATAATAAAATAAATAATTTGACCTTTAATGTCAGGTTCATATATGTGTCAAGGTCAATTTGAGTTTAATATACATGAAGGTCATGACCTCAAAGATGTTGTTTCTAAATATGAAGTTTATCCATATGTAAACAAACAAAATAAAAGCAAATTACAGAAAAACACAATAGTATTTCATTGATTTAAGGTCAATTTCACTCACATTAATTCAATATGTTTGTCTGGTAGCAAGTCTTCTTTTGTCCAAGTATAAATAAACTCCGAAAATAAATAACAAAATTATGACAATTTAACCAAAGTTCAATAATTTGGCCTTGACGGTCAAAGTCATATAATACTTAATGTCAAGGTCAGTTTAACCTTTTAGAAGGTCTTGTCCAAATGTTGTTTTATTAAAGTATGAAGATAATCCATCTATTAATTACCAAGTTAGAGTCAATTATAGCAAAAATCAATAAAAAATCAATATATAAGTCTTCAAGGTCAAAAACAGAGTCAAGGTCGATAGTTGATATACATGACGGTCTAATCCTAAAGAATGTTGTGTTATAATTATAATTATAGTTAGTAACAACAAAAAAAAATAATAATGAAAGTTTGAATAAATTGGTTTCAAATTGGTTGATCCTACTTAACATAAATGATGTGTAATAAATCCCGTGTAAAACTACAAATACATAATAGGTATATAAACAATGTTGAATTACACTTAACGAAACTTATAAGTACTCCGACCAATTTTTTATTATATTGTGTTAGAATAACTATAACTAGTCTAAGTCGATACTGTATAAACTTTAATGATAGTATCATCATTTTATAATAGTAAATGCATTTTACAATAACTCAAACTTAACAGAAAATCAGTAACTGAGAACACCATTGTAAAAAAATCAAATACCTTCAAGTTTAGTATATATTTTTAAAAACCGGAGTTTTCCTGCAAGTTTGAAATCGGAGTACTTATAAGTTTCGTTAAGTGTATTTGATTAAAATTTTGGCACAGACGGAGGTAGTTTATGACGCAAAGATTTAATTTCATAAGAAAAGACGCGGAATAACGTATAGAAATGTTTTTTTACAAAGGATTTTACTCGGTTGATTGTTTTCACGCTTTCCTGTTTAGGTAAGAAGTAAAAAGTACACAATTCATGTTATTGTTTTTAAAGATTTAAATTAAATGTTATCTAAATGTTGACTGAAAGATTTCATTTTATCATGCTTTATTTTTAAGTTTTGAGGTAAATGTTTAATACATGAGAGAAAGTACATGTACAAGATTACTTAATAGTTCGTATATATCGGAAAAACTTGAATCTGTTTTGGAAATGTGAAATAAATTTATTTAAACAGATATTGGAGCCATCAAATTACTTTCAACCTTTTTATATTTCGTATAAAATAAATAAAAACACATAAATTTCGCAGATGTTTGAAAATTAACTTTTATGTCATAAGAAGTGGCTAGTTAAAAGTCAAACAATATAAACAGTCGTAGATGCGTCTGTAGCTGTTAAAGGTAATAGTTCCCTAACTGGAAATTATAGTATTTCTAAAATTAAAAAAATTAAACTGGCGTATCAAGAAACGTCTTATTCTCATGCTAAAAGATTGCCTTGATTGAAACAAATTGATAAAATAATACTAGTTTTTAATACCAGCATTTGAAAGTGATTTCTTTGCACTTTTTGAAATGTTTAAAACTATAAATCGCAAGGACTAAATCCGAAACATTCCAAATTATCTGTTAGCTGAAAAATTATTTAGTTACAGGTACTTTTATTTAAATTGAATGCTTTACAGTGGATTACTGATTTATCCGTGAAAGTTATATTTGATAACTTCACAAAATATAATTTCACACTTTTAAACGACGGAACTACTTGGTTTTAATGTTTCCCCATGTGGTACCTTAATTTTATTTTGCTTACAATTCTGACATTGTCAGTACTGTACAGCGACATGAAAAGCTAAACTTGATAAATAACATGAATTTTAAAAGTACCTAAATGAAGAAAATTTACTTTGAGTCATTTAAATACCAATTTCCAAATATCGTCTCTAAATTTTTTGTTTCATTTTCAAAGTATGAAAAATACAATTCCTTTCACATGCAAAACTGCTCTTGATGACATGTGGGCATATTTAAGTATCCTACGAGCAATACCTGCCTAATGGAATATGAAAACTTGAAAAGCAATGGCAGCCAACAGCCCGAAAAATAAGTCAACAACACAGCGTTCTTAAGGCAGCCTTTCAACAATTCAATGTTTCCTAGCCGCTTTTTTTAATGTTTGCACATCTGTCAACACTTATTTATTGTCTCTAACAATCCTCAAATAAGTTTTCTTTCTTCTAAAAGGATGTATGACTAACAAATCCAAATGATATTCCTGAATCAAACACAATTATTTTCCTCCCTTGAAATACACAACTTTTAAAAATGGCGACCGCTTACATTTCACATAGACAGGTCTAATATAAATTCGCAGTATGTAAAGGAAATGAGGTCGGATAGTGTGACTTTTTCTTCTACTAGAATTGTTTGTTTTTATTATTAAAACAAGCGGTCATTCATATTTTTCTAAAAAATGAATAATATCACTGCCATTTAACTTTGATTGTCGAACTTATTTTCAGCCCAAGACTTCTTGTATGTTATGAGTAATTCGACTAATAGAGGCTACCAGTGGGAAAAACAGATTGTTATATTAAAGTTAATATTAAGAAAATTTCGTTTTAACTTGTTCACGGTGCATATCCATATCGGTACCCTCTTAAATAATTAAAATTATATCTTACACAGCAAACAAACAAATTTTCTTTTTATTTTATGCTTAATAACAACACGGTGCATATCCATATCGGTACCCTCTTTGCGAAATCTGCTCAAACGGTACCCTCTCTGAACCGATATGGATATGCACCGTGTTGTTATTAAGCATAAAATAAAAAGAAAATTTGTTTGTTTGTTGTGTAAGATATAATTTTATTTCATTTCGTGAACTTTAAAATCAGTATTCTCACTGAATACTGTTTTAAAAGCCCACTCGATGACATTAAATTTCATCTTACACTAACAAATATCTTCTATATCTGATAAAACAAAATTTGTATAGATAAATGATGTATGATGAAGATGCTTGAGGATATATTTTCAAGTTGTGGAAGGTTGTCTGCGTTTGAAGTGTTATCAATGTAACTCGCAGGATTCCCCGACTACGTGTGGAGAGAAAAACTTTAATGCTGAGGCCCACAAGGATACCACAGTCAGTGGAAGCACCTTAATTATTGCTTCACATAATGGTGGAACCAGCTGTATACGTGGCTATGCTGTCAACGATAAGGGAACATGCAAGCAGCTTACAATGTACTATAATGATGATTCTGTTTTTCTTGCAAACGAATTTTCATGTGTAAGTGATTACTTTTTGGTTTTGGAAGTAGTATTTTATTCGTCATATGTATAACTAAAGGCATTGTAAAGATATCGATGCATAAATTAAAATCATGATATTATAGGCAGTTTTTAAAGTTTATAAAGATCTTTCTTTTCTGATGCTCCAGCTGCAAATGTTAGCCGAGGCGTGGACGGGAAAAGAAGCAAATGTGTGAGTTTCCGAAGTTGAAGACGGACGACATTGTTAAAATTAAAATCAAGTTTTTTGTTTTAATTAAATAAACCTTTCCAGTTTCTATTTTTGGAAATTGATATCAAGATGAAAATAAGTAAAGGGTGTAGATTTATCCTGGTCAGGTGGCAGGACTAAGTGCTTTGGGTTTCAGCAGTATGCAAGCGTTTTGCCTCGTACTTCACTATAGAATCATATTTGTTCTGGTCGTTTGATATCATAGATTCCAGCACATTCAGTTGTAGATTGATGATAAACGATTAACCCGGTGCAAGGGGCGGGAAATTTATTGCACGTTAACACTATCACTCATAAATTGACTCAATCAAAACGAGTCCTCAAAGTTCATATAATCTTGTTGAATGCTTCCCGTGGGAACTTCCCATTTCTAGATTTTATTTTGTCTCTTTGTGAATGGAAGTGGTGTGGTGTAACATCTCTCGCACTTCTCCCTCGTCATCACCGTATTCAATCTTTAACGCTCCAATGCTACCTATAAGAAAAAAATCTCAATACTTCAAGATAAAACACGGGACAACGTTTACAGTTTCTAATACTTAAAACCTACTTTGTAAGGATAGAAATTCTGTAAATGATATGATCCATCAGACCATCGATTAAAAATATGAACCAAATAAACATAAGATCAACAATTTTCAGTAAAAATGGCCGATGAAATAACAATGTCGGTCAAAATTCATACGGGCAGTTTATATGCTATCTGGATTGCTTAATTACTTAAGTGAATGAAATTTGGCAATACATTGTATTTTTTATTCATCTTTAATTTCAGACTATTATCGTGACAAATCAAACGAGGCGCTTTGGGATGGATGCAAGACTCCACAAATGTGTGCTTGCAGTGAAGATCTGTGTAACTCTAAAGGGTCAAGGGGCATCTATGTGACCTCTACCCTTCTCTTCTGTTACCTGGTAACGGTTGTTGTACAGAAAATGACGTTTTGATACCTGTTGTTACCGGTTATGGTATGAAGGACTAACATAGTTTTATCATTGTTATACTTGAAGACTAGTTTAAGAATTTTAATGATTACGTTATATGTACATGTACTTTTTTTAATAAATTAGGTATGTGCGTGCTCGTGTATTAGTGTGCGCGTGTGTGTTTCTTTATTCCATGAGTTTGACATATATTATCTACTTTTTTCAATATTAGTTAATATGGATGTGTCGAAGGTAGCGTGTTCTTTTGGACAATTAGTTACTATAACTACCAATGGATTCAGAGCAGAATCGGCACAATAGTTTTTACTTGTTGTCTTCTTTCTAGAATCGTGTAACAAACAATGGAAACAGTAAAAACATGCACGTGAGGCACATTCCATACTCAAATCTTTAAGTTTCTAAATCGTCATTTCAAAATTATCATTTGCTAACACGCTTTTTCTGTTAAATATGTTCGCCTCATGAAAATGAAACGAATAGCTCTGTTAACGTACAGTATTTGCATTTATTTTCGTTTTATAGGGTTTTTTGACATTACAATGTATTTGAACAGGATTTTTTCGATATTGAGTTTAATGAAGTTTAAACGTTGTTTAATTTAATTAGCTCCCAATACTATCTGCAACTGAAATTTGCCGCGGTTGGCCGTGGGTTGTATACCACCTGGAGGTGAAGGTCACTTGACGCCTTCGTAACCACGTACTAAGGCATCGTACTCAAAATACGACGTCGGGGGTACCTATCTTGTGACCTTCGCGTGTCCTGCTGGAAACTACTTTGTACAAAATTGCATCTTTGAGGTGACTTCGTGTGTGTATCGGATGCGATCGCGTGACCTTCGGTAGGAATCGTGTGTTGCTCGGATGCAATCGCGTGACCTTCTGTAGGAATCGTACAAGTTTCGGCTGTTGAGAGACTGTCGACCAATTTCGGGGCTATCGTCGCACGAAATTAAAAAAAATCATATTCGTATGCCCATCTGGTGTCAATTTCGGGGCAGTGTGACGCCTGCATTACAAAGTTGGTCAGATCCGTATTTGATCATTTCCTTATTCGTGTGTCTATCTGGAGCCAATATCGGGACAGTGTGATGCCTGCATAAAAAATATTGCATTAAAGCAGATGTGATAATTATTTGTGATAAATAATAATTTGACATGTATAATATTGTTAAATCTCTACTTTTTTGTGCTAGCAGGGTCTTTCAGATAAAAAAAAATCAACCAATCAATTAATCAAATTTAGTGTAACTTTTGAACAAGTCGTTATAGTAAAATGTAGTCTTCTGAACACAGATGCGATGGGAAGAACAAAAGAAATGCAGTACTTAATTGTGCAATCGTAACGCTGAATCTGTGCAATATATAATCCTAACGAGCAAAGCAGAAAGTAAATGGACACACATATTTTAAAGAAAATCATATAAGTGCATGCTCACATAATTCCTGCGTTCCGGATACACATAGGAATTCTTACGAATGAATGGTAAAAATGATAAACAAAGGACAATGAACACGGATGATAGAAA